ATTTTTAATTAAAAATGAACATTAACTATAATTTTTTTTGAATCAGTTTTCATCATTTCATATTAAATTAAAATTTTATTCTAGTTTTTAAGCAATGATAATTAAGTCCCGAAAAATAATCATGCATCATTTTCTCTTTTCTTGCGTACTGACGCTTTTTGTCTTCCCCCCAAGTCAATCTGAGTGAGCTTCAAGTTGTCGCTCATTTACATCACCCTATAGCTGCACAATCAGCGACGGTCTGGGAAACATGCCTGAGGATGATCCGAAGACGTGTCATCGCATTCTCTGCAGAGGGAATGGCTCCCTCGATTAGATAGCCCGACGTCCTGCACGCGAAGTCGAGCACTTTACTGTAGAACAGTTTAGCGAGGACCCATACTGCACACCCTCGGTTCCTAAGCCGACTGATCTAAGCCGACCCGCACATTGACCGCAGCCAGTGATGCTTGACTTCGTTGCCATCAGTGATAGATCCCAGTATTACACACCTTAACCACTGTGGCCTAAATTACAGCACATTAATGAAACTTAATTTATATAATCTTCTGTATTTATTTCAGCATATTTTCAATACGGAAGTTGTTAACTCATCTTCAACGAGTCAGACTGTGAAGCTAATAGTTGCGGGTTTGAATCCCGCTCAGGGCATAGATGTCTCTCTCTCTCTCTGTGGGTTGTTCTCAGTAGTGTGAATGTGGACCGCCCTATAAACTGTGGCAGTGCGTAATATTGCTCGTCTTCGTGACTTAGGTTTACTGGTGTCCTCTGGATGACGATAAATGAGCAACACTAAGCCAGGATAGCCTGGTCCTTAGGGCCCACGTCCAAGAGTTCCCGCCTGCCGAAGACTCCCCGTGTAGTGACTGCTGCACGTTAAATCTGTCGAGTCGCAAAAGTCCTCCTTGTTCTCATCACACTTCTGGGGATACTGAGTTTCCTTGTCTTCAGGATTGGGTTCAAAACCACAAGGCTACGGAGTTGAGCACGAGTAGTCGCAAACAATGAACATTGAGTCGGCGTTCAACGGCGGATATAAAAAAAATGAGCAACACTTCCGGTATCTTCTGAGGTAAAGAAATTAAGTTCAGTGCCTGCCGTAAAAAAATTCGATTGTTTTTTACTAAAAATAAAACTACATTTTATGTCCAAAAGAAAACTTTCAATTGAAATATTTCTTTTTTTGCAAAATATAAAAGCATGCGCAATAGTTATTTAGCCACAGGAAAATATTTTCTTTACGCAAAGAAATAATTAGCAACAACATTCGTATTAACACACAGTGTAAGAAATGAATACCGATTTTAATGATGCATAACATTATTTCAAGTATCATTATTTCAAGTAACATTATTTCAAGTACAAACATGCATAACATTATCCAGCGAGTGCTATATCTTACACCAGTGTATGTAAGAGTATGAAAATAAAATGTATGCGTACGTATGGAAAATTGAATCGATGTTCAGCAGCAAAATTTTTTTTTCTTGGAATCGCTATAGCGAAGGGAATTCGGTTCACCGTTTCAGAAACAGGTTTTTAACTTCTCCTTTTTATTACATATTATTTAAATAAATGACCCATAAGATGAAATACAAAAATGACTGAAAAATAATACGTATCAACAAAAATGTGTTAACTTTTATTGTTTTCTAGTGGGCTGCGCCCCCTGCTCGCTAACGCTCGCCAACCCCCGAAAATTGCTGCTCAATCTTATATGATTTGCTTCGCTCGCTACTAACTTAGGTACATTGCAAATGCACAAAATTTGAAGAATTCAAAACAATCATTCAAATTCATATAACAACTTCTTTTTAAAAAAAATTACATCTTTTTAGTAAATACTAAGTCATTAAAATAAATTTGAATTCAAATAAGTGACATGCAATTCTTTAAGCCTATTAGAAATGTGCTATAGTATAAAATCTTAACATAAAATTTCTAAAACTGATATCTCTTTAAATTTTGGCTATAATTAGGTCTATTAAAAAATGAAATAAGTGAATTGCAATGGAAAAACCTGCATAAACAAATAAATTCTAGTAAAGCAAATAAATTCGTGATATAAATAAAAAATCGTCAGATAAATTCGTAATATAAAAATTCGGGAATAAAAGCGCTTTCGACAAAATACTGAAATAGAGATCTATCGACAAAGACTAGTCACTTCTGCCTAGCTTATGCTCTCTCTGGTTATTTCAGTTTCCGTTTTTAAAAGCGCTATATGTTGAGCCACCTTAGATAGATTTGGCATGGGACATTTTTAGCGGCAATCATGGGTCGATTTTCTAGCGCTGAAATTCGAGGCTTTTTTTTGTCGCCGTGTAAGAGAAATATATACATATATAGATTACTCTTCCTCTTGCATAATAATAATAAAAAAATAGTAATCTTTAGCTGATGAGCAATCCACCACATCAGATATAGAATTTCACCGACACCCGACTCTCCGATAATTTTTTATGAATTTATATATTATTCCGCTTTTTGAGCCTGTCTAACCAGGCATTCGAGCGCATAAAAGTAGTCTCACGCTATCGCTCCGCAAATTCATCGGCTTTGACTTGAGGCATTTGTCCAGATACTGGAAGATGGCGGCTTTTTTGAATGCTGAACCCATTCAATAATGAAGCAAACGAGAAAAAAGGCTATATCCCATGCTATAGATGGTTTAAGAAATAGGTATATGAATTAATTTTGAAGTAGAAATTTCAAAATTATTTCATAAAAAAGGAAGAATCAGTCGAAGACAGAAAAAAGTTCTTAATATTGTGACGCTTATCGTCACTTAATTCAGAATCACAATAAAACATTTAAAATAGATTTATTGTAAATTGCAAAGTAATTGATTAGATTTAAAATACTGTGGAAACTTGATAAGTCTTTAAACTACCGTAACAATATCCAACTTTTCTGTTTTTTTTTTTGGTTCACTATACAGAAAAAAGATAACGCTATGCTTGTGTAGTGAACGGGAGTGAACATTTCGTTCACTATATACGGAGTTTACTATAAACCGTGTACACTGTAGCGGGGTTTCACTGTAACAACTTTGTTGGCATAATTGGAAGCAATGTTTTCGAAACACTTTTCGTGGAAAGACTACTCTAAAACCTTCGAATGGAAGCCCATTCGAATTTTTTCTTGCACCCCTTTTAATCTTCTTAGAGATATTCCAAGCTTAATAAAAACGTTACAAAATATTTAACGGATATCCAAAAATCAAAAGATTTCTCCTTTTTTTTTGTATTACTCAACTCGCTAAATTAATTTGTGAATTTCCCGTCATGCTCCGGGGCATGCTTAATTAAAGGAAAGGTTTCTTTCATGATAAACATTAATTATTTTTTTTCTTCTCTTTTTTGACCCAATTATTTTTTGATGATCTTTTCCGATAAAGCGACAAAAATTTACATGAGAAGAAAGTACATAAAGATACTAAAATATTTCGCTGAATTAAGATTTATCTTAAGATTATTTGATAAAGTGTATCAATATGCGTTACTCTGTTAATCATGAATTACTTTTATGAACAGAAACGGGAAATTAAAAATTTCCTACTGGTGTTTCCGGATTTTTATTAATTGAAAAAAAAAATTTCTTTCTCTCTTTTTTTATATCTCTGTAATTTTTCCATGTTCCGTTCTATATAATTGAAGCTCATGTTCAGTAAATAAAACTTATTCATTTTCTTAATTTTCTTCGTTTTTCTCTTTTTTTTCTTCTTATACATTTATATATATACATATATATATATATATATATATATTGCTTTTCTAATATTGTATCTATGTAGCCAAATCAAAATATATCAATACAATAGTGTGAAGAGAACGAGAGAAATATTGAATGAAAATAGAGCACATTAAGTAAAAAATATATAACGCAAAAAAAAGACATAAAATAAAATGTAAAGGAAAAAAAAATGAAAAACACCAAACGAAATCTATAAAGCCAGTAGCGAATTCAAATGAACTTACATGCACGGAAAACTTTAAAAAAAGAATTCAAAATATTTTCGTAATAACATTGCCAGATTTCAAAATATGAAAACAGAAGCGCAAATGGAGCTAAAAGCGTAAATAGATGGATTTTTGTTTTATGGCGCGTTCTTTCCTCAGTACTGAAGCGCGTTTGACTTGTTAGTTACCAAGGGTTAGCCCGAAAATGGATGTGCGCAAGGTAGTATTACTATACTGGATACTTTAAGGAAAATTATAATTACTAAGATTGATAAGTTCAAAATGTAGAGAAAACATGGAAAAATTACGGAACAATGAAAAAAATATAAAAAGAAAAATAATAATAATAACTACGAAAAAAAAGTCCGAAAAAAGGAAAAAAAAAATTAAAAATCCGGAAAATAAAATATATAATCTTTTCATCAGCTCACACGATTATATCAGCAAAACGGTAATATAGCCAAAGTAATTATTTGCTTCCTAATATAGTCAAAGCAAAATATATCAATACAATAGTGTGAGGAGCACACAAAAAAATTTTATAAAATNATATAATCTTTTCATCAGCTCACACGATTATATCAGCAAAACGGTAATATAGCCAAAGTAATTATTTGCTTCCTAATATAGTCAAAGCAAAATATATCAATACAATAGTGTGAGCATAATAAATTCTTAAGTGCATATGAAATTTCTTTTATAAAATTTTATTGAAATGAAATAAATAACAATACATCACGAGAGTTATTACAGACTCTCTGAAAGATTGTTGTATAAGATGCCTGTTAAATATAAATATATTACATGTTATATACTTTTAAAAATGTATATAAAATATTCAAAGAATGTTTCCTCAAACACGCTTTTCAGCTTCAAATCAAACTTTAATATATATTTAATTACGCCGGCCTGGTGGCCGAGCGGTTAGCGTGCCCGACTGCGAAACCATAGGCTGCGGGTTAGAATCCCGCTATGGGCATGGATGTTTCTCTCTCTCTTTGTGCTGTCCTCTCTTGTGTGTGTGCAAGATGTGTGAATGTGGCCCACCCTATAAACGGGTTTGTGGCAGTGTGGCGTGGGCAATGTTGCTCGCCTCCGTGACTTTGGTTCACAGGTGCCCACTGGGTAACGCCAAATGAGCAACAATTCTGGCATAGTATAGGCAAAAGATTCAAACTCAGTGCCTCCCATTGGAAAAAAAAATATATTTAATTACATTAAATTACATTAAATGCGTATTTTTTTGTGCTTACAGAACACAATTAAATTTTGGTCTGCGGCCGTATAATCACTGTTCGATCTTATCACTGGGCAAGCCATTAATGTTGACAAAATTGTTCACCACAGGTATACACTATTGCTGGGAGTTATAAGGTTTTTCGTGATTTTCCCTGCCAATGTCATGTCGCTACTTTCGTTCTAAAAAGTTAAAATTTTTCCTAAAATTATCTTCTGAGTAGGTATTTAAAATCGAAATAAATAAGTAAAACAAATTATAGAACGCCAAGGAGTCATAAAAAGTTTTAAAATGAAATAATATAAACTGAATAATTCTTGTTTTTGCAGGAATTGTTTATTTAACAATGAGAAACTGAATTGCAAATAATTGTGAAAATAGGCGTTAATAATAAAATTCACATCTTCTTCACTAAGGGGTCCTCCACCTGTTGCTATCGTCAATTTTTATTTTATTTTATAACCGTCGTTGAAGAGTCGGCCCAATTTTTTAGGTTTACGATTGCTAACTCCTTAGCCTTGTAATTTAAACCCAATCCAGAAGACAAGGGAACTCCTGGATCGAAAAAAAATTACCTTCAAGGCAGACTTTCTGATGAAATTAACCCGCATTCGCGTTACATGGTGACCACGAGAACCCTTCACGGTTAGCCAGGGGGACTCATGATCCATGGTCGGTGCAATCTGGTTGTGGAACCAGCCATCGATGAGATTTGAACCTCAGCCATCGCAATTATCGCTATTGAAACCCAATCATTTTATTATTATTATTACCACGTTTATATATTTTTTTTATTTTTTATTGAAATTACATACATTTGCTGACTTGTGTGCTCAATATAGGCTTATAAGTCATTGTCAAGTAGAAAGTACAGATAGAACAATTCAGAGAAAGACATCACAAAGAATACATCCAGGGTTACTGCGGGATTCGAACCCGCTACCTCCACGTTTAACAGAGCGTTTGGACCGGCGATACCGCCCACGTTTATATAAACTTGCCTTCGTGTATGTCTGTCCGGGTGGAATTTTGTAATCGATTTTAAACTAACTTCCCGACTAGCTACAAACTTCAAATTTAGCACACAGTTCAGAATTGGATGACAAAGCATGAAAATGAAGAGAAAAAAGACGTGCAAAGTAAAATAAAATTAAAATTTAAAAAAAAAAATTATTTTCGAGATTGTCTTTTGTTGTCGATTCCATTATTTCAAATTATTACGTCTCAGGTGAAAAGATTTTTGTTGTCGGAGTATTTTTATTGGCTGAAAAATCACGTGGTAGGATCCAGTTTTTCCTCATTCATTTCCAGATTGTTTTGGTTGTCATCAGCATAAAACTAATGAAAGTCGTAAAGGTATTGTTTTTCTATAAAGATTTTTGTATCCCTAATTTAAAATAAAAGTTCTATTACTTTAGTAGTGGTCTTGTAGTAGTCTTGACTACTCTTGACTAAGAAAAATAATCTAAATAAAAATATATATTTTTAAAAACCACGTTTTTTGTAGTGAAGAATAATAATTAAAAAATAATAATTTTTTAAAAATATAAAATAAAAATTAAAAATTAAAAAAATCATAGTTTAAAATAAAAAAATTCAAAATAAAAAGTAATATTTTTAAAAACCACGTTTTAGTAGTGGAGAATAATAATTAAGAAAAAAATTGAAAAACGAAAAACGTGGGGCGCATGAAATACATAACAGTACATATACACATACATATACACATTTTCTTACTCATACACATGCACAGCCACATATACATCCACATACATATGCATATACAAAAGCATATTCCACATCCACATTCAGATGCAATTACAATTACTGATATACATACACATATTCTCAAGAGCACGCATACACACACTAATATAACATTACTGTTATGTATTTCATGCGCCCCACGTTTTTCGTTTTCAATTTTTTTCTTAATTATTAATCTCCACTACTAAAACGTGTTTTTTAAAAATATTACTTTTTATTTTGAATTTTTTTTTGTTTATTCGTGATAAACAGTTTATTACATCAAAATTAAAAGGTGTTCAATTGCCCAAAATATTTTATTAATTAAAAAAAATTAATTTTACAGATTCACTTTCCAATTGTATTAAGATTTCAATTTAAGACTTTGCTCAATTAAAGTGGCAACTTCATCCACAAACTTCAAATTTTTTTTTATTAATATTTTGTTAGAATAAAAGATAGGTAAATATTTTTCACCAGAGTTATAACTTAGCAATACTGAAAAAAGTTAATTCTTTATATGGGTTTAAGAATTTTATATAGTTATTTTGTGTTTATTATTCTAATCGCATGACAGGACAGTAGCAACTTCAAGTAAAATGTATTTTTCAAAAGTAAAAAAAAATATATTAATTTCGTTTACTATTTAATAAATGTAAAACTGAGATTAAACATCTTTATCATAAAATGTTGTTAGTTATTATCATGTCATTACTTTAATATAATTAATAAATAAATAAATAAATAAATAGATGGATAGATAGATAAGTAAATAGATAAATAAATAGATAAATAAATAGATAAATAAATAGATAAATAAATAAATTAATTATTCATTTTAAAGCATTTAATTCGATAAATGAATGCATTTAATATAATTAATTTGTTCAACTTGCTAAGGTGGGTTCAATTTTTTGAACTGAAAAAAATGTGCTCATCCAAATTTCATAAAAAGATAAGAAAGTTTGAAAGAAGAAAAAAGTGGGATGATTCTTCCTTCCTAGATCTGCCCGATTAGAGTTTTTCATTCTAATCGATGAGAGAAGAGTCTGGAGACGCGGATTACAATTTTTTTTAGCTTTTCATCTTTCTACGCTAATAACACATTTCATAAGTGAAGAACAATAATTCTTTTGGAAGCTTGAAATGCATGAAAATAAGGATTTGTTGAATGAAAATAGGAGTTACTCGATGAATAATTTAATATTTATTGTAAAGAAAAGAAGTTAACTCATAAGAAGAAAGAATTTATAGAAATATTTGAATTTATATTTAGAGAGAATAATGGGCATATAGACGAAACTGCCGTGCTGTCTCTATTCTAATTATAAAAATGAAGAAAAATTCGTGGAAATGAAAAGCGCTTAGAATCGAAATTTCTAATGCGTAATCATCCAGATCCGTCAAATATGCAAAAAGTAGTTTTATAGATTTGAGATGGATTAGAAAAAGATCTTTTGGTCTCGAAAAGTAAAAACTGGAAAACGCTTGCATTAAAAAGGTTAGCCTGGAAAAAACTACTTGAGAAGGCCAAGGCACCACCATTGATGATGATGACATTTGCTTTATTAATTTTAAAGCTATTTGTTTGCTTCAAAATCTTGTCGATCATGGTGTCATTTAAACTGAAAGCTTTCCTTGAAGTGAAAAAAATAGTCAAAGCGCTATGTGCTTTGGAGGGCCGCGAATATCAAATCAATGTAGAGTTCCGGATATCTAACTAAAAATTAGATATCAGGACTTCTTTCAAAATTGTTCTAAACAGTGGTGTTGCGAAAGATATTCAATAAACTTGGTCGTTCAATTATTGTGAATAGGTTATTTAATATTATACATTTGTCTGTGTTTAGATGTTTAAATTTTTTTTTTTTAAAACTGAAATAAACTTAATAAAATAAAGTTGAAGCAAAAGGGTTTTTAAAAAACCTAAAAAAAAATATATGATACTAAACCTCACTGTCAGAATTTTCCTTCTAAAATAATAGTAAAATAACCATCCGATTAACCGTGAAGTTTACAGTACAGAATATTTTTTTTTATCTTCACGGTTCTGAAACTGTTTACAACTAGTATGGTTTTAAGATCATGAATACTAAACCATACAGTTTTTTTTAAGCAATTTACAGCTACCTTGGTTTCAAAACCATTAAAAAAGAAATTTAACTGGACATAGGAGCTCTCGTTAGATAAGGGGCATTGGAGAGTGCAGGACACTTCATGTGCGGCAATGGGAATGGAGGTGTCAACGTTAAGAGTCGAACCACCGTTCATGAGATTGACAAATTATCTCTCTCGGCTATAATATGTACACAGTTGCAAGAAACTAAGTGTCTTCATTAGGTGAGCTAAGTGGGTGCAATAAAATTCCTGTTATTTAACCGTTTTAGGTAAAAAATAGTTAATAAGCAATTTTTCTCACTGTTAATAGTTTCATTACCATCTTATTTACGGTTATTTAACTGTTTTGTTTAAATAGGGTAAAATAACAGTTTTAACCCTTTCTGATTGTTATTTAGCCATTTTTTTTCAGAGAAATTTCTAATAGTGCATTTCATTAAAACTGTTTTGATTGCAAAATTGTATAAAAGCATCGAAAACGAAAAATCCATTAAATTCTATAACTTAAGGTGCTAGATTATTTCTCTGATTATTTTACATTTTGCGAAAGATAATGAGTAAATAACATTTGTTCAGTGATTAAAAGCGAATCTCTTTTTGAGTACCATTGAGACTCTTCTTAAGATTACAATACTGATAATTAGAGCCATTTCTGAATATGTTTAACACTTTAAAAATTGGTGAACGAAACACCTTCTATAGAATTACACAATAGTCTCTGCCTATTTCTGCGTTTCCAATTCGTCTATCACATTATTCTTTGTTTATTTGGTTTATTTCGTTTTATTTCTGATGTTTATAAGGTCTCTCAATAGAAAGGTCTATATTTATGAATGAAAGAGAAATCATACCAGATAAATGAACGATCTGTTGGTTTCTTTGACAAAAGAAGGAAAATATATTCTTAGAAAGCTACGTTTATATGTTTAGGAAATCTTGAGAAAGACTGTTATGGTATAACTAATGATTCATGAGAAAAATCGAAACAAAAACGGCGTGAACAGATAATAAAAAGTAACTACAGTTAATGTAATTAAATAATTGATTTCATCTACTCATTAGAATAAACTAATAAGAGCCAGAATATGACTCATGAAAATATATGAGTGAAGATTCAGTTAATATGTTATTCTGATAAAATGTTATTGACGAGATGTCTTTTTTTTATTTCTGAATAGTAAGAGCAGTTTTAAATGACAAAATTTGGATGCAATCGGTTACTTCGCAAACGAAAATTTAAAAATTCGATTTATAACTATTCTAATTTTGGCAACTACAAATTTCAAATTGATGTAAACACTTTTTATACCTAACAATCCGAAGCGTTTTCGACGATTCTCAAATAAAAAGTTTAAAAAATAATAATTAACTATAAGATATAATTAAAAATAATCTTTTAAATGAAATTTCCTTTGGGTAAACAAACTTTGAATTTGTGTGGCAAAAGTTTTAGATCTGTCAGCGAGGTATGGCGGAATAAATGAGAAAATTAAT